GATGTATATATAAGAAGTTCATAATTTGATGTAAAATTAATTGATTCGTCGGTAATCGGTAAAGTATTTATTGAAGAATTATTTAAACAATAATTATTAATTTCTGTTGAATTTAATTCTCTTATTCCAAATATTAATGATTGATGACCAGGTGTTTGTTGATTATCAATAAAATATCGATATATATCATCCCCGGTTAAATCTATAATTACAAAAAAGAAATCTAGATGAATGTTCAAGAAAATAAAACATACTGAAGGGACAAAAAATTGTCCATCCATCAATGAGATTAATTGAACTATTCAATAGTGGTGTTTGATCAAATTTATAAATAAATAAATAAGCTAAACTTGTATTTAAAGAATGAATTTCAAAATGAACTGAAATTGGAAGTGAACTTGTTATATTAATATAATGATAATTGAATAATAAATTATTAATGGTTGAATTAACTGATGTAACATTTTGTAAATACATTGATGGAATTAATACATTTGGATCACGAGGAATTATTAGTTTTATTGAATTATTTTCATTGGCTTTAAACGAAATTTCGTTTCCATTTTGATCAATAATCGAAAGTGAAATTGATCTTGAAAGATTTGTATTTTGAAAATTTCCAAATGAAGCAAGTGGATCTACTCTTGTCTAAATAAAACAAAAAATAATTGAATAAAAATGATTCGAATTACAGAAAATTACTCGAAGCGAAATTGAAGAATTAGACGTTGTGTTCAAAATAAAATCTGATGGAATACTAAACTGAGCATTTTCAACTTGTTTCACAAGTCTATCTTTGAGTGATTGAATAGATATAGTTTCTAATGATACAAATGATTGAGATGTATTCATTAGTGAACTTTGACCAATATTTAAATGAATATTTAATGAAGAAGTTAATAACGATATCATTTGTGTCACTTGACTATTGATTTGATTTGCTAATTGTTTTTGATAATAAATATTTCGATTTTTTTCAATTGTTGCAGTAGAAAAATCATTTCCATCAGAAAATAAATCTTCAGAAGAAAACAAATTTAGATTCAATAATAATTAATTACATTAAAAGAATCTTACTTAAATTTGACCATGCAGATTCAAGATCAGTATCATAATCAGTAGATATGGCATTTGCACGAGAATTATCTAAATCAAGTACCTCTGTTCGTCCTTGTAATGGTCCATTCACAGCCTAAAATTATTAGAATCGATAATTAAAGAAAAAAAAATTCTTTTTATGTCAAAATCATTGAAGGGTGTGGGTGCTGATTTCATCTCGTATCATCGTCCACACCCACAGCCTCAAGAGTTTGATAGAGAAGTGAGAATACTGATTTTATATATTTTACATTTAAAAGATTTGAAGCACATTGAAAAAGTTGATTTGATGCTGATTGAGCATCTTCATAGGATATTTTTTCAAACATTGCATATAGAGCAGCAGATAATTCATAGCATCTATTTGATACAAGCGACTAGAATCATTAAGAAATATAAAAATCTTCAAAAGAAATATTCTTTATAATTTTTACTAAAGTATTTCGTGTTAGTTGATTTGTTGCTTGAGTTAATTGAACTAATGATGATGATTGTAATATAATACTATTTG